AGACAGACAGACACACACAGCACATACAAACTCACTTACCTGGGACTCGCCAAAACTCTTTAAAATAGTCACTAGATGAAAACCTACTAGAAAATCCCCAGTCGAATTAAATCTCAATCATGCCCAAATGCCTAAGTTTCTAAAGGATTCTTGTATTTATATAAACAAAACGTGTTTTCATAATATTAGTAATATTATGAAACCAAATATATTATCAGACCATATATAAGTGGTCAGTTCTGCTCACTATAAAAAACAAAGCCTATGAAATGGCTACTCCTTTTGCACCTACCTTGTATCTACAATTAAACGGACTGCACACGACTCTAAACAGAAAGTTCACAGTAAGGATTTGATGTCTGCTGTCCCTAGATCTCCTGAAACAGCAAGATTAAAAATCAACACGTCTGTCTTTTCATCCCAGGTCTGCCATTTGTTAGCTGTAGGAATCTAAGAAGGTCACTTAGTAGCCTTAATCCTTGGCTTCCTCGTGTCTGCAACACATATGGTAGACTCATCCTTCTCTGCTCTGTAATGACTGCAAGGGCCCGAGCACTTACCATGTCCAAAATGCAGGGCTGGAAAGAACATTTCTAACTTGAGCAGAGACCTTTTTTCATTGCCCCTTCTATATTATCCATCCTGCCCTCTTCTACTTTGAAGCACAGAAGACAGAGACTTTTATGATAATAGCAAAAAGCTGTGTAAACTTCTTCACGGGCTTCCTAAAATGCCCTTCCAATTTGGCACACCCTATCACAGCAATACTGGATTTCTCCCTAAACAAAAATGGTCACGGATGTCAAAGGCAAGCGAGTGAGTGACTGGTGAACTGTGTCTAAATGATTTTCCTTGTGACCACAGCTAGCCTGGAATAAGCCCCTGCCAGCAAGAAGAGAGAACACACTTCACAGGCAGGGAAGGCATTGTTCAAAGTAATGAGTTCTGCATCACTTGGTCCACAATTCACAGCTGAGTCTGGTTTTCCTAGACAAAGAGCAATAAGCAAATGGGGGATGCTCCTCGGCTCCTCTGTGACCTTCTAATCTTTATTAAACTCCTGAAGTGGTGAAGGAAAGGAGGCCAGAACCTTCCCTAGCCTTCTGTCCTAGGAACGACAAAAGCAAATGTTTACCGACCCTGGCCAGTACTTCAAGAGAGCTCCTGCAGGGGACTATAAGTGATTTCAATAGTCTGGAGTCGCTGAAACTTAGGCTAACGTGAAAGTTAAACGGTTACCCTGCCTTCCTTTCACTGGTCCATAATTTTGGATCAGCCCGTTCTCCCCCTCAGAGAAACAGGAGTCACAATCCTTCAAGCACAGAGCCCCACTCTGTTCTTCAGAGGGAGCTGGCAGCAGGTTCATTGTGTCCTGAGACAGCGAACCAGAACAAAGAGCTGCTGAAGCACTCACCTAACTTCCCTGGGAAACCTGAGCTGAAGGCCTCTTGGTTTCTCCCACACTAAGCACAGTACTTGCCTAGACCACAAGTTTGAAGACTGTGTCAAAGTACACACACACACACACACACACACACAATAGTCTTATCTAAATTGCTTTTTAAAAAGCACACTCACTTTTAAATAAGAACAATTTTTTTTTTGTTTTTGTTAAGTTTTTTTGATTTGGGTTTGGTTTTACTCTTAAGAATGCCGGAAGTTTCCGTGGAGATGCAGCTAGTGGCAGGGTGCTGGCATACCATACGTGAGGAGCTGCAGCTGACCTCCAGCACTGCTGGACAAAAGAAAGAACCATCAGAGGTGGGGTGCCCCTCCCCCTGAAAGCCAGAAGCCACATTACAATTCTTCCAAAACTTAGAACTCTTAACTCACTGAGGACAAGGAATTGAATGTATTCATCTTGCTTACAAATAAATTCTCAACAAATAGTTGTTGGAGAAATGAACGACTTAACTACAAAACATTTTACTAAGAATTTTCACAAGGGCTAGGCAGAGAGCCTGAGAGTAAACAGATTTCCTAGCATGCAAAAGTAAGGTCTTGGGTTCAATCCCCAGCAATGCACACATGCACATAGTACTTTGTGCTATTTCCACAACATATTTCCTAATGAGACACCTTTATCATGTCTTTTTTATAACTCTATATAATTACGTAACAGACTGATTTTCAAAATAAATCTACTAGAAGGCAATGACAGGGAAAATATGTCAAACAGAAAGAAGCCAGGAATTTTAATGCATTTTATTGCAAGCCACTCTAAGTCTGGCTCTGCCCACCAACCTCTCCTCCCTTTGTCTCCTTCCCAGTCCTCTCAGTGCACTCCCAATCTCATTATCCCATGATCTGCTAAAGCAGCAGTTTACCTCCCGGAACAGGCAGAAGCACACATCACTGAGAATAGGGAATCAGAGCCCCAAACAGGGTCACAAAGTCCTTGAACCTGAAAATTAAGTTTTTCTAAATTTCAATGGAAGACTTTTTTTTTTTTTTTTTTTGAGACAGGGTTTCTCTGTAGTTTTGGAGCCTGTCCTAGAAACTAGCTCTTGTAGGCCAGGCTGGCCTCGAACTCACAGAGATCCACTTGCTTCTGCCTCCCGAGTGCTGGGATTAAAGGTATGTGCCACCACTGCCCGGCTAGAAGAGTATTTTTTAAATATATTTTAAGTATATTTTAAAAAAAAAAAACATTAGAGCAACATGAGTTGCACTAAGTCTAGACATTGATGAGGAAAAGGATGGAGGAGAAAACTTTACTTGAGTGCTATTTACCAATTGTTTTGAAAAGTAGTACGCTGGTGTCATTGCCGTTTGCTGTCGGCGCTGGACTAAATCATCTTTAAAGTCCTGGTACATCTAAATGCTCGCTATTCTGGAATGTATAGTGTTCAATGCAAAATTCTTACGTTACTTAATTCAAGTTATTTTAGGCCAAACTTTGTCCCAAGAAAAGTAACTCCATTTTAAACTTTAATGAACAGTTATGTAAATTCCATTTGGTTTATTTAATAGCAAGTAGCTCACAATCATGACGCAAAAATAGGAATGCAGTCTAAGGACGCATAGAAACAAGAAGTTACAGCACCCACTAGGAACCCTGAAGATTTGTACTCTTGCCAAAACTCACCTGGGTATAAACAAATGGAATTTAAAAGGAGGGCAGGGCGGGGGGGGGGGGGGGTTTCAAGACACAATATTAAAAAAAATGACTCTCAACAGACAATTGAGGAAGACAAGTCTGCAATAAGGCGTCTTAAAGCATTCGTTTTATGAACAAGATCGTAATCCCAGCAGTAAGCAAAACGCGGCGAGCATCTGGAAAAGCAACGCCTCTGCTGCCACAGAAAGCCTTTGTTCCCAGTCACCGGTATTTTTACATTAGTTCATGTGGAGAGCATCGGGTTCTGTGCACTATAATCGCGCTGTGTGGTTTAGAGAACGCAGGCGCTACGGGGTTGTCCATAGGCAGCAGAAAGAAGGTTCAGACCTGTCCTCCTAAGACCCAAGACTAACTAAATTAAAAATAAATAAATAAAACCTCACCAGCAAGTAAAGTCTTATTCATCTCCTCTTCCATAAGTTAAGAGGAGGAAACCTGAATGAATGCTCCAATAAGCAGTTTCTCATCATTATTTTCCTTCCATGATCAATAGGATAACGCAGGAGAAAAAAGTTTTACATTTCCTATTTCATGCAGTTGGTCATCACTTCAGTGCTAAAGTCTTAAAGGAAAAATGAGATCATAAGTTGACTCCAAGTTCCAAACAAAAAAAGTCTAGAAGAGAAGGAGCGGACTCCACAGTTAAGCAAAGCAAGACAAGTCAGTTAGTCAAGTGGCGTCTCCGACCCGGTATTGTTGCCATGGGATCCCGCGCAGGCGCATAAAGCGCCATCGCAGCCCGGGCGTCGCTCTGGTAACCACCGATTTGTCCCAGGAAAGGGCAATTGGAGTAAATCCTCCCAGCGCCTAATGCCCGGAGTTTTTTGAACCGCCGGACTCGAGCGTGCAATTGAAAGCGCGCTCCCGAGACCGCAGAGCTGCTCTCCCGGCGGCCTGGGGATCTGGGAGCCGTCATGGGATCACCCCGCAGCAATGCCCGACCCTCCCAGAGGCTGGACGTCTGCAACCAGCGCAGGGAAGGCGAGAGGTTAGGTCTCGCTCAGGCGCACAATTCCACGCTCTTCTTCAGGAGGCCACGAGCTACTGTGGTCCAGTTCATCGCCAGGGGCATCCTGGCACACTGCACAGTCCACAGCGCGCGGGGCTGGGACTGCCCAGAAAGAACTCAGCCACCTGCTCGCGCGACGCTGGAGAGGCAGTCCAGTCCTCCTCTCCCAGCTCGCGTCCCTTTCCCTGCCCCCCACCCCTCACTGCACTGACCTCCTCAGCTGAGTATCCCGCGGTTGAAGGACCCTCGGAGTTTTTGGTACTGGCGCAACCTCCCAAAAGCTGGCGTGATCTACCTGCTAGTGGCCCGGTGTGACTCCAATCTCAAGTCCCTGCCAAAATACAAAACAGGCCCCACGGAGGGGCACCACTCCACACCAGGAGGCAGAACCCACAGAGGAGCTCGGCGCAAGAGACCTGCGCTGCCGCCACAACCTGCTTTCTCATTCAAATCCTCAGGCTCACACTGGAGCCCCCTCCCTTCTAGCCCGCAGCTCAGAGCAAATCCGGAACTGGAGCGCGCGAGAGTGGACTGGAGCTCCTGCCTCCTCGGCTGCCCCAGCAGGACAGTAATGGGGGCGAAGAATTGGACCTGGACCCCTAGGCCGACACCCTCCTGAATGGGTTCCCTGCTAGGCACAGGCCGGAGCCCCTGGGAATAAAGATCTTATGTTCTCCCCCGCAGCAAATTTCAAAGACTTTCAAACCCAGAGCCACCCCCCAGTTGAGTCTCAGTTTAGATGGTGGGTAAAGGAGCTTCAGAAACAAAGTTGGAGAGTCCAGGGGAGGCCAATTGTGCAATGCTCTTACAAGAGTTTGAAGCGCTTCTGAAATAAAGCTCCAAAAGACCCATTTTCCCTCTTCCCCTTACCCTTTTTCCAATAAATGTAGCATCTGTTAACAGAGGTAAGTCACGGAGATCCATTTTGAGTAAACTACAAGTCAAATTGAGGAACGGGGAGCGTGGGCTGGAGCTTATTTTGTTATCTCCTAGTCTCTTCCAAATGCCCCTTTTTGGCATTAATTAACAAGTCAGTTAATCCTCGGCTCAACCGCTCCGCTAGCGGGCTGGAGAAGCTAATGCGCGGTCAAAGAGCACACCGGTGGCAGAAGGACGTTTGCACCCAGCAAGTGTTCAAAAGATAACGACAGATGACCGCCCCAACAGCGGAGAGGAACCAGCGTGGTGCGATGCGGTCCGGCTTCGGAATTCCAGGATTTGCATTTATCAATCTTCATTCAACCTGCCCTATTGTTAGTTAGTTCAAAGCCTGACTGAGGAAGGAGGAACTGAGGACGCGGCTCCTCACGCACCTTTCAAAGCAACTTTTCTCCAGTAAGAAAGTCAGGAGCGCTGGCATGGCAGCATAGGGTTGGCAAGGGTTGTGTAGACCTAGTGACAACGTAAACAGAAGTCTTTTTTGTCACGCGTGAATCTGCTTAGAAAGCAATAAACGAGGAGGGCCAGAGATTGGAAGCGGCCTGGATCAACGATAGTCCTCTTTGACAGACGGTTGGAGGGCGGGAGGAGGGACGCACTGTGACCCCTCAGCACAAGATCTAGTGTTTCACCTTTTCATCCCTGCTCAGCCGATACCATAGAAACAACCCATTTGTATTATTCCGTTGAACAGAGGCAATTACAATGTCAACAGCAAAGCACCATGGGCAAAAAGAAACTTTATCCTGAAAAGCTATCCTGGACTCTCAGGGGGAAAAAAAAAGGAAGGAAGGAAGAAAGGAAGAAAAAGAAAGGGAAGGGAAGGGAAGGGAAGGGAAGGGAAGGGAAGGAAAGGAAAGGAAAGGAAAGGAAAGGAAAGGAAAGGAAAGGAAAGGAAAGGAAAGGAAAGGAAAGGAAAGAGCCACCAGAATAGCAGCACAGTGCAAGGAAGAAATCAATTTAGAAAAAAAAGAAAGAAATCCCAAGTTTTTCTTTGCTCCTTTTTTTTTCTTTAACCAGACCACAAATACCCAATTTTCAAGAAATTAAATAGGTTTGAGGGTGTAAATGCATCATGTGCTGTGAGGCCCTAAACATAATTGCCAGCACCAAATATATAAACAAATAGTAAACAAACAAGAAAAGAAAAAGAAAAAAATGGCAGGTCATTTTCTACCTCCAAATTGCTGTGTGTGTGTGTGTGTGTGTGTGTGTGTGTGTGTGTGTGTGTGTAGAGAAGGGTTGTTTAGAGTTTTTTGTTTGGGTGGCAATCACCATGGTGAACAGGAAAAAAAAAAAGGCAAGATAATTAAACTCCCCATCAGTCACGGTTATCCATCGCTCAGCCTCCTGTGTTTGTCTTCTGGAACTGAAAGCTCTCAGATGCACAGGTTAAAAAGTACACCCAAACACAAACTTCTTGACAAGGGTGTTTATGCCAAGGAATCTCGATTTTGGTACTGTTTATTTCTGTAGTTCGTGAACTTTAAAATTTTAAATCACACCACATTTCAAACCTATGGAAAACAGGAATGAAAACTTGTGTCACAGCTCTGAAGGGAAAGGCTTCCCCAATGGGAGTGTTGCAGTTCTGAGAGGCAGCCGGGAGCCAAGGAGTACCACAAAGTCACACCACACAACAAACCTCACCTAAGAGATTTCTTGAAAAAGACGCAAGAGGGTGGCTGCCTCTGGTTAGGCAAGAAGCAATGGGAAACTGAGCAGAAGACAGACATTAGGGTGTCTTGGGTAGTAGTCTTCCAGGGTGGAGGTTGGTGGGATTTCAAGCTCAGGAATCGGATTTTGCTGAGTTTTCAAATCTGAAAGTGAGCTCAGACCTTTTGCCCCACAGTAATACATTTTATAAATTTCTTTTAAAGTTACCTGTATTATCTTATGTGTTTTGTGTTTTTGCCTGCTACTGTGTAACAGTTTCGCCTGGGGATTGAAATTCACCATCCTTAGGAAGTTCCTTAAACAAGAAGATAAATAACCTTCCAGACTTGAGGAAGTTCCTGAAACTGATGGGATTCACTAGGCTTCTCCCTACCTGGTGAATAATAAAAGCTGAGCATCCCTGTCAGTGGAAATGAAGTGAGATGCAAAGAAGGCTCTGAGACCAGACCAGCTGTCTGGAAGAAGCAGAAGCCATCTGAGCAGGCTGTGAGAGATTTAGATCAATTCTGACATCTGGAAAGGACATCCTCCAACCTGCCAATCTGCCTGCAGACTGTACAATGTTCCAGATTTCCAGCTTTTGTGAGCTGGGGTGGGCTTTGGTGATGCAGCTGTCTTGGAGTCATTTTTGAACTTGAAAGAGACCCATATTCCTGTAAGTAAATAAACTTAATAAACTAAATAAAACTTAAGGCTCACCTGTTTGGACTTTGGTATTCTGTGTACTTTGGACTGTCGTGGGCTCACTATCTGGGGTGAATAGATGTATGTATTGTGTCTCCCCAGGAAAAATATTGTCACACAACACCAGCATGTATGTCTTTGCAGCAAGTATATGCCTGATGCCCATGTTGTTGGATCCCCTGGGACTGGAATTCCAGATGTTTGTGGGTGCTGGGGATTGAATGGGGGTCCTCTGGAAGAGCAACCAGTACTCTTAGCCACTGAGCCATCATCACTCCAGCCCCTCTTCCTGCTCTCTAAAATAAACCCTTATGCTAAACCCCTAGCTCCTGGCCCTTATTACTCTTCCCCCTCCCTAATCACTAACTGTAAAGTTAATGAGCTCATACACAAGCGTGCATGTTTTGAAGTGTGAGTGTTTTGAAGCACACACACACACACACACACACACACACACACACACACGTGTTTCCATTTTGGTTGTTTGAGACAAAGGCTCCTGCAGCCCAGGCTAACCTCGAACTCATTGTGTAGCAGAGGCTATCCTTGAAACTCTGATCCTCCTTCTTCCATCTCCCAAGTGCTGGGATCACAGATTGTCTTTTCTCACATGGCTTTTAAAAAACACTATTGAGGAAAGAGAATTAAATTGCTAGACATGGTGGCTCATGCCTGTGATCCTGGCACTAAGGAGGAGTGAGAGTTACAGTGAGCTCAAGGCCAGCCTGGATCACGTAGTGAAATCCAGGACAGCTAGGGTCACAGTGTGACAACAAACAGGAGGTGTGTCACTGATTACAAACAAGAAACTGTCACTGCTTTGGTAACTTTATGGAAGTAGAAGTGAATTTTTTTTCCCTGCTTGTGAAAAAAGAGAGAGAATAGTAACAACATTATTAAACAGTGGGTTGCGAGTAACCAGCCCCTATGATTGCATAACCTTTTCCATGGTACCAGAGTCAACAGAAAAACAAAGCAAATAGTACCTCCAATACCCACCACCATCGTCCCTCCCCCATCCTCCACCCCCAGGACTGGCTAAAGGGGAATTCAAGGCAATGGAATCTACAGTAAAACTCCTCTTACCTATGTATCCTGTGTGGCTAGGACCTTTTCTAGATGGTCTCCTGTCATAAAAGTTAGACTCCTTTATTCTAAGTCCTTTCCAAGGTCCCAAGATCAAGGGACTCCTGCTGGTACCTTAATCCAGTTCTGCTAAGAAATCCAGGCTTGGATCTCCCTGCTTCCCCAGACACAAGGACCTCACCCCCTATAAAAGTCACCAAAAACCCTGGACAGGGTCCCTAGATTTAAAGTCTTCAATGCAGCAAAGGGACTATGAGAACATGATTTGTCTTAAATGCCTTGAACTGGTTGGTGGACGGCATATTTCCTACCTTCGCCTCTTCACCGTCTAAGCCTTAAATTCTAAGGGAGGCCTCTCATTAATTATCCGGGCAGGTCCCTGCCAGGCCTCCCTTCCAAATAGCTGCCAGATTTCTACATATCGCTGCTGGCTTGATACTGAACGTGCACTGACAATCAGGATTACAGAAAATCCTGCAAGCAGTGTCTGGTATCCCGACATTGATTAATAAGCCTTATACTGAGCCTGCTAGGCTGCACATTGAGAAGGATTTGTAAAGAAGACTGTGCTACTAATAAATGTGTGTGTGTAGGAAGGAGATTGTCCCACCTGAGCAAAAACCAGTACTTTTGGATGTGAGGGGAGAAAAGAACCCTACCGAAAGCACTCCAGTCTAACCAGCAATGATACGGAGTTGCAGTCAGAAGCAAGAGCCTGAAAGAGATAAATAACGCCTGTGTTTTAATCACTGCATCAGGAAGTCAAGGAACCTGACTTAAGGAGCTTATCAGGGAAGAGTCACCTCCCTTTCAACACATATTTCTCAAGAGGTTGCCAGGCCAAGACCAGCGTTAGGTCTTCAGCGTTAGCTGAAGTATAGATAGCACTTTAGAAGTAATGAGCAGGACCTGGTCTTATGGCCTGACTTTCTGTATTGCTCAAGATTTTTAGGAACAAGTAATAAGATCTCACATCAAACCACCATGCAGGAGAGGCATGTTATTTTTTATATGACCAACTGTCATACTGAAGATGGGGGAAAGGGGCTTAAGTAGGAAAGCTGTCCTGTGGGAGGGTTGTGCTTTTCACTATTGCTGGGAGGGATTTTAACACATTTGCAAAAATAGTATAATGAAGCCTGCACATTAGTTCCTCAGTATAAAGTGTTAGATTTAGTCAATTTTACCTATCCAGAAATTGGGTTGGGGGGAGTCAGTATAATATGTACATTCATATATTTACACACTTTTCCAGAACTGTGATCTTGTTTATTGGCAAAAATGCATGACTTGAGGGTAACTAAGTAAAACCAATGTGTCTGAGCCCTTAGCAAAATGTCAGTGTATTAGCCACTGTTTTCTGGAGGAGCAGAACTTATAGAATGAATCTCTAGATAGATACAGAGAAGGGGGTTATTAGGATGACTTACAGTCTGCAGTCTAGTTAATTCAGTAATGGTTGCTTATCAACAGAAGGTTCAAGAATCCAGTGGTTGTTCAGTCCAGTAGGTTGTATGTCTCTGCTGATCTTCAGTACACACTAGAATCCTGAAGAACTAGGCCCTAAAGCCAATAGGTAGGCAAAGAGAAAAGCTTCTCTTCCAGGTACTGATAGGGGCTTTCAGAAGGTGCTGCCCAGGTTAGAGGTGTGTTTTCCTACCTCAAAGATCCAGATTAGAAGTAGATCTTCCCACTGCAAATTAAGCAAACTCCCTCACTGATGTCAGTGTATTATCAGTTCCCTTCATTTTGGAGTTTTAGTTTATTCCAGATGTACTCAAGTTGACAAATAGGAATTTCCATCACAGCTAGATACAAAATAAGCTCTCAAAAGTGCTAACAACTCCTTTTACTGTTATCAGACATAGACATGCATTTGCTATGTAAAGGACAGGGGTGTTTTCAAGGCTCAGGTCTCCCTGTTCTTTCCTTACCTGTACTTGTAACACCATTACATACGGTGTTCATATGTTTCCTATAACAAGCCATTAAAATTCTTTCCCCCTTTGTATATGGTGGTGCCTAAGTTATTATGTTATTCATATGCAAATATACATTTCCCATCATAGATAAGGAAAAAAGACACAGGCTTCATTCTGTTTTGCTTTTGTGAATGTGTGAAAACTCCATTGACGACCTCTGAGAAACACAAAACACAAGTTTTCCACACCAATGTATGTGTCTGATCTGTGTTTGCTAAAAGAGTATTATTAGCTAACTCGTGAGTTGCCTCTTCAGTCCTCATCTTTTAAATTTTATTTATTGCTACTCTCTCCCTCCCTAACCCCCCATGTGTGTGTGCATGTGTGTGTGCATGTGTATGTGTGTGCATGTGTGTGTGTGCATGTGTATGTGTGTGCATGTGTGTGTGTGCATGTATGTGTGTGTATTCCAGTGTGTGTGTGTGTGCATGTGTGTGTATTCCAGTGTGTGTGCATGTGTGTGTGTGTATTCCAGTGTGTGTGTGTGTGTGTGTGTGTGTGTGTGTGTATTCTGGTATGTGTTGATGCACATCACAATGTGCACGTGGAGGCCAGCGAACAACTTTCAGAATTCTGTTCCCTCTTTCCAGAGTGGGTTCTACTGACTCATCTTGAGTCCTTACACAGAGTCTCACTGTGTAGCTCTGGACGGCCTGGAACGCCCTCTGTAGATTTGGCTGGTCTCAAATTTAGAGAGAGCCGCTCTCTAGTGATGGAATGAAAGGCTTGTGCCCCCATGCATGGCTCTCTAGCTTCATGTTTGTGTCTTGGTGGAGTAGTGTACCCTGTGACTGCCAGATAAAGAGAAAATCGTAGGTTTTGCTGGAAGTAAATTCATCAGTTGAACTCCCAGCTTTTCTTAAATCCAGCAATTCCTCTCATGAGATCACAGCATTTAAAAGGCAAAAAAAAAAATGTGCTAATAAAAGTGAACTTTCCCCCTCCACACAGACCATTTCTCCTCCTCCTGGAGGGGCTGAAGTATCTTACAGGAAGCAAAGAACAGAGCCCAGAAGAACAGAGCCCCCTTTCCTCTAAGGGCTTCAGAACCCCCCTCTGGACTCTTGTTTCCAGAAAGACCTCCCACAGAGTCAATATCTGCTCCTCTGGCTAGAAAAGATGTCTAAGGGAGGTACCTTATTCAGAATAGGAAATAATAGTGAAACTTTGAGACTATGTATTCCCATCAAGGAATACACTTATTTCCATCTTCAAATACACCGTCAGTTCTCTGATTAATCATTACAGATAGTAAAGAAAAACCAAATGAGATGTTGAAAGAAAGTGAGCAAAGTGCTAAAACAGAATGGAAATCTAAAGCTTTGAAAACCTGAGGGAAGGGGTTCACAACACAAGGAAGCCTGTGCTGTTTCCCTTCTCTTCGGGATTCTAATAGGGTGCACTCTTTATTGCCAACACATGTTTCACTTTGTTTTCTTACCCCCCCCCCCCCGCCAATAAACCCAAATGGTTAGATTTTCCCACACAAAAATAATAAAGGAGAAAGTGCAGTTTAAAAAAAGACAAGTAAACAAACCATATAATCATGTCTTAGTTTTATTAGATATTTTTTAATGTATGGTTTTTGTTTTGTTTTGTTTTGTTTTGTTTTTTTGTTTTTTCAAGACAGCATTTCTCTGTGTATTCCTGGCTGTCCTGAAACTTACTCTATAGACCAGGCTGTCCTTGAAGTCTGTCTCTGCCTCCCTAGTTCTGGGAGGCAGAGGCAGGCGGATCTCTGTGAGTTCGAGACCAGCCTGGTCTACAGAGCTAGTTCCAGGACAGGCTCCAAAACCACAGAGAAACCCTGTCTCGAAAAAAAAAAAAATCCTCTCATCTAACTACAGGAGAAGTTAGCAATCTTTATTCCCAAGAATGGTGTCCCTATCTCTTGTGGCCCTGGCCCAAACTCACTAGCAGCTAGAAAGACACTGGGAGAAAAAGTGGCTTAGAAAGAAACATTCTAAAACTTCCTTTATTATAAAGTGATGAAACTGAAAAACAAATATTAAATCTGGCTGTGCCAAATAACTAATTTAACAGTCAATGCTTTAACTTTCTCTTGAGACATTAGCAATATAGCACTGGCAATGAGACTCAGTCATGGTATGCTAGCGAATCCAGAGTGCATGAGGCCCTGCATTCAATCCACAGCACTAGGGGGCAGGGCAGGAGAAGAAACAGGCAAAACACTAGTTCTACATGGATACAGCCTTCTACCAGGTAACTGTATAGTGTGCCATTTTTTGCTGAAAGTATATTGCATTGGTCATAATTCTTTCAAATTGATTTTGGTGTTAACAGTGTTTCGAATCTTTAAGGACCACTAGACTAGAATTTTGGTCACCTGAAGAAGTTTCCATTTGACTCAAGGAAAAGTGGTCACCTCTGGACCTCAAGGGTGCTTCATCTTTTTCTCCCAAAGTGCAGGCGGCTCACAAGTTCTCTAAGTTTCAGAACTAAAGAGAAGTTGCCCACGTGGTCCTTCCAGCTTCCATAAGCCCTCCGAAACCTGTCATAATAACTGTCTTTGGTCAAGTGGAAATCTGGTCTGCTTGTTTTTAAACAATTGTCGTTTTTCCATATTTCTCTCCAGGAATCTTTGAATTTTCCCAAATAGCTATCTTTTTCAGACTCTTCCTTCCATATTCCTTCTCCTTTCTTCACGGCTGCCAGTTCAGCCTTAAGTAAGTTCCTGTGGATTTTCCAGTGGGTTTTTGAGTCATAATTTAGCCCTTTAACAGGAACAGTTTTGCCCAAGCCTCTTCTTAAAATTTCCTCATTCAGATTCACGTTAAAATATCCACCCTGAATAAAAAGAAGGAAACCAAAGATGTAATAAATTGTTACTATACTCATGTTATCTTATTTACCTTAAAATTCAGCAATTTTATCATTTTAGAGAAAAGCAAAAAAAATATAACACAAAGCTCTTCAGGTCAAGTTTGGTGCCACACGCTTGCAATCCTAGCATTCATGAGTCTGAGGCAGGAGGATTACTTATTTACTCAGGGCCAGACTGGGCTCCAAAATGAGACCCTGTCTCAAACAAAACAGTGACAGCAATAAAACAGAGGTCTGGAGATATCCAGCGTCTGTACAGAAAGTAAGGCACAGCAGTCAGGTTCATAATCCCAGTGCTGGGGAGGCAGAGACCGGGGAATCAATCCCTGGCGCTCACCGGCCATCCAGCCTAGTTGAGTAAGAGATCTCTGGGTTCAGGAAGAGAAGATAAGGTACATGGTAACTGAGGAAGACACCTGACATGAACCTTTGGCCTCCACATATGCACACACACATACGCACACACACACACACACACACACACACGTGTCAACACCTGTGTAAATATATGACCCTCACACATAATAAGTAACAAAACAGATCAATGAAACAACAAAGGGGTAGAAGAGTTGCTATTGCTAAATTGAAGGATTTTATTTTTTGACATAATACACATGCAAAACTTGCTCGAAGCTTCTCATTGATCTTTAATCCAAAGAAGCACTGGAAAGGTAAACTATAGAACGTGCTACTTACTCTCTTGACTGTGTAGAGGGGAAACAGAGCACAAGATTTATACAATGAGAGCCCACAACAACAACAAAAAGAAAACTATTAACTAATAAGTAAATAAGTGACAATGAACTCAACAGCATTAAATTGTTAAGTGTGGGTTGGGGGCTGGAGAAATGGCTCAGAGGTTAAGAGCATTGCCTGCTCTTCCAAAGGTCCTGAGTTCAGTTCCCAGCAACCACATGGTGGCTCACAACCGTCTGTAATGGGGTCTGGTGCCCTCTTCTGGCCTGAAGGCATACACACAGACAGAATATTGTATACATAATAAATAAATATTTTTTTAAAAAAGTCACAGGGTTTGGGGGGTCTGGCAGGTAGTGCTTGTTTTTCTTCTTTTAAATGTGCATGGGTGTTTTGCCCTTATGTGTACGCCTGTGCATCACCTTCATGCCTAGTGCCTGCCAAGGCCAGAAGAGGGTCCCGGATCCTCTGGAACTAGAGTTGCTGTTGTAAGCCACTATTATTCTACGTGTGATAAAATCAATAAACGACCTTCCATAGTAAATTATAGAGATAAAGCAGATCCTGTTTTACCCTAACAAAACCAATTAAAATCAAATGTTGATAGCTTCATTTTGAAGTACAGTACAGGGCCGGAGAAATGGCTCAGCAGATTAAGAATGCTTGTTGCTCATTCAGAGGACTGGGGTTTGGCTCCATGCATCCATACAGGACAGCTCAGAACTGTCTGTAACTCCAGCTCCAAAAAAATCCAACACCCTCTTCTGGTCACATGTAGACACCCACATAGGTAGACACGTGCACATAAATAAAAAAGCAAAACAAAAAAACAAGTGCTTGCTGCACAATCGTTTGAATTAGGTTTTCATCCCAGCACCCACGAAACAAGTCAGGTGTCTCCAACATGGAAGGATTCAATACCCTCTGCTGGCAGGCTCCTCCACGTGCATGTGAGTGTACACACACACACACACACACACTCACTCAAGCCGACACATGCACACACATTCACACACACACACAAACACACACTCAAGCCGACATATGCACACACACACATTCACACACACACACATCCACATTTTCAAAAAGGCAATCACAATTAATATAAAATTAATCTAAAAGTCAAATTTCCGGGCTTAAATGAAGAAATACTTTCTAAGAGTCTATAAAATAAAGTAATCTTTAAAAAAAAAAGACTTTGAAACAAAACATTTTTCTGGGTACAGTAAATTGTAAATTTTGGTCTATGAAAGGTTTATTATATTTGTCTCAGTTTAGAACATTTTATAAGCTCATTTCCTTGAGCCAAGGCAAAACAGCTAAACAGTCTCACACATTAATAGAATTCAAGCAGAGAAGCACTTGAATCATGTTCTCTGCACAGCATCGTTTGTTCATCTGGAAAACAATGTAAGGACTAGGAATGCAGGTGGGTCTCTGAGCCGGGAAGAACTCTCCCTTTGGTTAGTCTAGTCCAGGAGACTCTCATCCTTTGTAGACCCACCTGTAAATGAGAACAGCAACCCCAGAGAATGGTCTTCTGCATGCGTGAAGTAACATGGCCAAGACATTTACTTTTACAGCCTCTGAGTGTGAGCACACAGGATACTGGAGCAGATGGAGCAATATTTATCTTTAGAAAACATCCCGTTCTTTGTAACTTCCAATTGTCAAGCCTCACTCCCTAAATGATTTCACAGAGATCCACCTGCCTCTGTCTTCCAAGCCTGGGAATAGAGGTGTGTGCCACCACTAATTGGCACTATATAAATTTCATTGTAAAATTTTGTGGATGTTTATATCAGTCAAATAGGCATTCTAAAGGGGCTGGAGAGATGGCTCAAGCAACCAAGAGCTCTTGCTGCTCTTCTAAAGGACCTGGGTTCAGTTCCCAGCTCCTGCGTTAGGCAGTTCACAACCACTCATAACTCCAGTTCCAGGGGATCCAATGCCCTATTCTAGTCTCCGTGGATACTGCACCCATGCGCATAGACCCACACATAGACTCGTAATTTAAAAAGGCAAAAACTAAGGCCTGGAGATGGCTGAAGAGATGGCTGAGTGATTAAGAGCTCCCATTGCTCTTGCAAAGGACATGAGTTCCATCTGATCTACAGAGGACGGCCTGATCTACAGAGCAAGTCCCAGGACAGCCAGGGCTGTTACATAGAGAAATATGTCTTGAAAACAAGACAAAGCAAAGCAAATAACAAAAAAAAAGAGGAAGAAATTGAAGAAATTTATATATAAAATACCTTGTTCTTTACACCGCATAACTGTGATTAGCAGTTTGAAAAGTTCATTATATATTCAAAATGCCAATTAAATAAGCATTTACTTATGTTGCGCATGGTCAGGTATTTCTTCACACTGCTCACCTTGTTCACTAGAAGGTAGCAAACCAGTGCTGAATTCTCCTTTCCAAGAAGCTGGAACCACAGCTGCTGGGAAGGTTTTAGCTCTTTCTGTAACCAGACCTTACCGGTTTCAGTGAGTTCTACTCCAGCCAGCTTAACCAGCAAAAACCCACGTGGTTCTTCTAAGAAAGTAATGTAGAAAGCAGTTTAGCTTCAAGGCAGACCACAAAGCAAAGTCCAAAGTCATTTGTCTCCAAACCCCAAACACACATTATAAATACTCAAACTCTAAATTTAAAACCACTTATTTTTATTAAATTTTCTTTTAAAATAATACAAGCATAAACCAGATATTTATACTTTATACCAGATGGGCCTTTAATCCCAGCACTCAGGAAGCAGAGCCAGGTGAATCTCTGCGAGTTCGAGGCCAGCTTGGTCTACATAAGGAGTTCAGGACCAGCCAGGATCGCCTGTCTTAAAACCAAGAAAGGAAGAAAAAGAAATTGTCTTGAGATTATAATGTGGTGAAAAGGCACCATAACCACATAAAGAAAATATTTAATTGGGGCTGGCTTAGAGTTTCAGAGGTTTATTCCATTATTGTCATATGGGGAAGCATGGAGGCATGTAGGCAGACATAGTGCTGGAGAGGTAGCTGAGAGTTCTATATTTGGATCGGTAGGCAGCAGGAAGAGACACACTGAGCCCTCAAAGCCCACTTCCTAGTGACACACTTCCTCTTACTAAGCCACACCTACCTCAAAGAGGTCACACCTCCCTTCACCTAGGGGGGGGCATTTTTACAAATAAACATCAACCTGGTTTTGCCTTCTGAGTGCTGAGATTAAAGACATGTGCTACCAGGCCCAGCTTGTAATTTGTTTTTTGGCTTTACAGGTCACATTTAAGCGATGACTTGAGTCTTAGAAAATATTTCGAACTTCCAAACAGTGTTGGGACTATTAAAAACAGTTGCATCATGATGTAGTTGCAAGCCTATGAGGGCAAGTGGTAGAATGTGAAATGTCAGGGGGGCTGGAGAGATGGCTCAGAGGTTAAGAGTACTGGCTGCTCTTCCAGAGGACCTGGGTTCAATTCCCAGCACCCACTTGGCAGTCCACATCTGTCTGTAACTCCAGTTCCACGCAATGTAATATCCTCACAGAGACATATTTGCTGGAACTCAATAGGTAGACGGGCCTCAAACTCACAGAGATCCGCCTGCTTCTGCTGCTGAGTACTGGGATTAAAGGCGTGCACCACCAAGACCAGCTGGGCCTCGAGCTTTTAACGCTGAGTTTCACTTTCCAATTCTCTTTGCTTTTTGATAGCGGATGTAATGTAAGTCAGCTGCCATACCTTCCTATCATGAAGGACTGTATCCTGTTGGATCTGCAAGCCACAATAAACCTTTCTCCTTTAAATTTCTTTGATCAGGTATTTTTGTCTCAAAACATGTAAAGCAACCAAGGCAGCAAGGAAAAGTACTTGCCATGAGTCTGACCACCTGAGTTCTAGCTCCAGAACCACAGTAAAAGGAGAGAACCAGCCAGGCGGTGGTGGTGCACACCTTTAAACCCAGCACCCACATGGCAGCTCACAACTGTCTGAAGATCCAGTTCCAGGGGATCTGACACCTTCATACCGATGCACATAAAATAAAGTTAAATAAAACCATAAGAAATATTTTAAAAATATTTCTGAAAAAATAAAATTCTCCATTTCCCAAGAGCAATTTATATTAACCACACACAAAGTGTTCACACTCTCACTTCTTCTGCCATGGCCACTATCTGTTGGAAGACACTCAGCAGGTTTCTTTCATTTATACACGAACAGGCATTCATGGAGTTCTGGGTGGAACAGCAAAATAAATGGAAACAAAACAAAACCCTTAAAACCAAAAACTACTTTCTAGCTATGTCCTGTTGGCTCCACTGAATCAGGAGAGAGCTTATAAAACAAAACACATAAAAACTAAAACCAAAGCCAACCACACAATAACAACAAAAAAACAAGTCAATTCTTTCCATCCAAACTCTATTGACTAGTCAGCATTTTTCTATAAACTGTGATCATCAAGTTTTGGGGGAAATGTTCATGTCTGTCAAGCGCTAATTCTTTGGTAGAGAAGATAAAAAACATAAATATATCATATCACAGGAAGTTACAAGAAAAATGGGTAGCTTGTAGCCTAGGAAGATGGACAGCAAATTTTAAAATGCAGGGTAGAAAAACAAGTAATTCTACAACTGCAGTTCATTTAACCCTCTTCACAGGGGATGGGGGTTAAGGAAGTTTTACAAAAGGAAAAAAAAAAAAAAAGACAACTGAATCAGATCCCAAAGAATGAATTTTAAGTTGTCTGAGCAAAGAACCAGACCCGGGGTTATGCAGTTGTATCTAAGAGAAAAAGGTGTGTGTGGGCCCTTTGATACGAAGTGGGGATAACTGATAATAAGTAGAGAAATGCTGGATGGTAGTGGGCACAGGCCTTTAATCCCAGCACTCAGGAGGCAGAGGCAGGAGGATCTCTGTGAGTTCGAGGAAGAGAGAGAGAGAGAGAGAGAGAGAGAGAGAGAGAGAGAGAGAGAGAGAGAGAGAGAGAGAGAGAGAGAACCGGTGTGGCTCCTAATACCCCTCTAATCTTCTTTGGCTCCTCTCAACTTTCTTTCCCTGTCTCTCATCTACAGGAACTTCATACAACTGTCAAAAGATGCAAGCTCATTCCTACCTGCGCTGTTCCTGGCTAGCCCACTCAAATGTTCAGGTCTGATTATATAACGTCTCCTCAATGAGATCCTCTCTGTCTGACTACTGTATATGTGTAGATTTCCTTAACCCCACCAGACCTGAATAGTTATCTATCTCATCACTCTGTTCCTTGTCTTCATCAATGTTAGAACAAATTTTCACGGGCCCATTGTCCTCAACCAAGACTGTAAGCTGTAAGCGTTAGAAGGACCATGTTTGTTTGATTTCTCATGGTATGGTTATCTTAGGTCCTGGGCCACCAAAGGCTGTCATCATTTGCAGGATGAGCAACCAAAGGCCTAAGTAAAAGACTGGGCAGTCGGCCGAAACCAAAGAGAGAAGGAAGACAGGAGCTCTAGAGCCAAATTAAATAATTTCTTGTAAGTAAGGCCATGATTCAGACTTTCATAGACTATGAAAATAATCAGAAATTAGCGTATTTCTGCTGTTTTATAAAGAGCATCTAGTTATTAAATACCACAATAATGATTACAACAATAGTTTTACAATTCTTGCATCTTACTTACTTTTCCACGAAGATATAAAAGGTAAAGTAATAGGAATATGTTCAATTTCTAGACCACACTCGGTTATCCGGTGTAATCGGCCACGGAGCTTCACTTTCTTTCTTATAAACTCGACTGGAATATCCGAAGAGGCTGTGAATTTTGATGTCTGTTGATTTACAAAAAAAAAAACCATAATTTTCACTTAAAATGAAAATAACATGTGTGATATCTAAGCATTTATCAAGAAGACATAGCCTTTGAAAAGTTTCAACTTTAACGTGTCAATATTTAATAAGTTTTAGCACTGACACTTTAATATTTAATCAAAAGTGTTTCTAAAGTCTGGAGAGATGGCTCAGCAGTTAAGGACACTTGATGCTCTTGCTCTAGATGTAGGTTCAGTTTCCGGCACCCAGTTCCAGGGAGCTGAGACCCTCACTCTCTTCTTGCATCTGGTGCACATAAACTCAATACATGCACAAACACGTGTATATATATAAACAGTAAATGGCTTAAAGTGTTTATGGAGAGTGAGAGCTTACTACTCATTTCAGTGTCTGTTTCAAGATGGCGTATCTGAGGCGTGAAATGAAGTCCCCAGCACAGCTGTGCTGCATTAAATTAGACTCCTGGCTGGTGAGATTTTTCTTGTTTTTTTAAAATCATTTAGGTGACAAGGTAAATCTTTAAAAAGAAAATAAGAGGGTAGGCCAACATTGGAGATTTCCTTTTACCCCATCACCTACTGGGTGCCCAGGGTTAGTAACTGTATCATTCAACATCATACAGCATCACGGCTAGCTCAGAACCTTACATCGCGCTGTCCATCTTTCGTTTGAGAGGAAAGAATATTTGACGCTATGGCATATTATCTCTGCAAGGGAGAAGGGCTTTATCTATATGCTGGGATAATTAAAATTTCTAGTGTGTGTGTGTATGCTACATTGTGTGTTCGTGGATGTTCGTGGAGAAACTCTGTGGAGCTATGTTCTCTCTTTCCACCTTCACACAAGGTTCTGGGGATCAAACGCAGGTCTCCAAGGCTTGTGCGAGAGTGTTTAACCACTGAGCCACCTCAAAGCCCCAGAACTCACTTTTAACTTGGCTTCAGAAGGACCACTCTGGATTTCTTGTTTGTGTGGGCATACATAAAAGAACTTATGTAAGTTTGTTTTCAGATTCATCAACATGAAAGCCATAAATGGTAACCGGCATTATTGAGGTTCTGTCATGCTATGCTACCTAAGAAACCATTCCAGGTTAAACTGGCAAATTATAACCTCTCAAATTATAGATGATTCTATCACCTGACCGTTTAAGTTCAATAACTAAAAATCAGCCACATCATAATTTCTGTTTCTATCTAAAAAATAATAGTTTATTTGCAAAACACATGAGAAATAGTTTTGCCTAAAAGACAAGATGTCATCAGTACCAACAATTCCCTACCCAGACAAGGAAATTAGACAAATCCTAGTTTGTTTAGATTTTGGTTTTGTTTTGAGACAAGGTCTCCTTCTGTAGCCCAACCTAGGCTAACTTGGAACTCACCAGCAGTCCAGGCTGGCTATGAGCTTGTAGTAATCCTGCCTCAGCTTCCCTAGCTATCAGGAAGACAGGTGTGAGTCACCATACCCAACTAAATTCCATTTTGTTGACAGAAAACCGAGATCTGTGTACTGAAAGGTTATGGTCTGTGGAGCAGCCGAGCTCATGGGATCCTAATCATATGATTAGAGGCAACAGCGATTTAGGACCGGCTGCATAAATGCATAAAGAAAATGTATATGTTATTAACCTGCTTGTTTTTTCTTTACTCCAACTCATTCCTTATATGTAGGCATGATCATTTTAGCATTTTAGCATTTAGATTAATGGTTCAGCAGAAGTCAGGAAAATAACTCTGTTTTTTTTTTTTTAAGTTTTATTTATTATGTATACAACTTTCTGCCTCCATTTATACCCACACACCAGAGGAGGGCGCCAGATCTCTTTACAGATGGTTTGGAGCCACCATGTGGTTGCTGGGAATTGAACTCAGGACCTCTGGAAGAGCAGACAGTGCTCTTAACCACTGAGCCATCTCTCCAGCCCGGGAAAATAACTCTGAACTAATCAGAATGCTATCCAATTGTTACTGTCTCTTATAAGCAATCTATAATATATTCAAAACGTCAACCAAAAACACAAGACAATCCACAAAATCAAAAATGCAAATTTAGTGACTATACTATTTTAATAAACTAAAGCCTTTATGGAACTATTTTTTAACTCTAAAAATATGATTATGCAAATAGTCTGTAGAATTAAGTAACTATAAAATTTCACACAACTTTGTGACTCTAAAATATAGTCACTGCTCTAAACATTAACCAAGATCTTAAAAAATATGCTTATTATTCTAAAACAGAACTTAACGTCTTGCAGTTATGGATACAAGCTGCCTGGGATGGGAATAAACCCACTGTCCGTTGCCCCTGCCAGTTTTGACTTACCAGTCGGACACTTCTCATTAGTAACACGATCCCAGCTACGGCCATTCCCGTGCTGACGTTCTACAGAAAGAGATTTCATGATTGACCCTCGTCAGTTATTTACAACAGCGAACGCACTAACTTAGAAAAGGGGAAGGGAAACGGCCCTCGTGATGACGACCAGTTCAAATGATGCAGCCGCCTCCGGCGGAAGCTCAGAACGCTCTGTTGTGTCCCCACCTGTATCGTCCTGTCTTTTTACCCCTTCAGTGTTCCTCCCCAGTTCTTCCTTAGCGATCTGGCAGGCACAGGGATAAGAGTGTGAGCGATTTGACCTGCTCTATGAACTCCTTGAATGCACCCCTGACCTAACATTTCTATCTTTGACATCCATGGCGAATTATGCATTTGGTAGAAAACCATGGCAAACATACTGGGTAAACATGTATGTAAATGATTGAATAGTAACATATAGTTACAAATAGTAACATATAGTTAATAATGATATATGTATTTCTTTGGCACTTGTTACTACTAATGACAGGTAGACTAAGGATGAAGTCACAAAGGAATGTCAGCAGGCAGGCACAACCTTGGACCTCAGGCTGCCTAGCTGCAACGCATTTGCAAAGCTCAACTTTTTCAGCTTCTCAGCGGAACTTTTGAAAAAGTGTTTTTCCGATCCATTCCCCTCCTGGCATCTAGCTGTCTTCTTCCCTAATGCTCTGTCAGCCTTTGCTTCTGTCGCCTTCGACTCCCATCAATGCACGGACAGCTCCCTCTTTCCCCACACCACCACCAGGACCTTATTAGCAGTCCTGTCTCTAGTGTTAGTCTGGTTATCAACGCTTCTCTTCTTCGACTGAATTTCGGTGACTTCTCATTTCACTCAAAAAAAAAAAAAAAAAAAAAAAAAAAAAGGACTGACTGGGGATATAGTTCAGTGGTAAGCACTAGAATGCTTACGTTAGTTCGAATCCCAGCCCTGGAAAAATAGGCTCTGTGAAGGCCTACGGCGCTTCCCAGCTCTCTGGGTCTCCAGGCTGCAGAACGGAACCGGGAGTTACCTGCACCCCTGTGGCGTCCCCAGCCCCGCGCCAGCCCGGCAGTGACGAAGCAGGCCTGGCCGCCGGGACGGCAAAGGAGGCGAAGTCGCCTCCCCGGCCATGCCGGCCCCTGCCGGTCCCCCTCGAGGCCTGCCGCGAGCACCCGCTCAGGCTAGCCCACCCCGCCGGGTCGCGGCACCTGGACAAGGCGCAGGTGGCTGTCCGCCCACTGCGACACGCGCGTCACCACGTTGGCTTCCCGTTGGTCCGGGTCGGCCGCCTGCGACCCGGGGCTCGCCGGCGGCCGCGCCATGTTCCCGCGTCCGGCGAGCCGCGCTGGTTCCTCCCGCGGGCGGCAGGGGGCGCTGCGCCGCGCCGCGCGTGCCCGGTCCCCTCCCCTCCGGGGCGCCTGCACCCGCTGTGTACATGAAAAGTGTGTGCTATAGGGGTACCACGCCAGCCAGGACAACTGGAACGCTGACTCAAAACAAACAACAAAAAATGGGGTAAAGTATTAAGAAGGAAATCTGGGTAAATAGACACGATTCGGTTATTCTTGCTGTTTTGTCTGTAAGCTTTTATTTTTATTTTTTGCTTTTCAAGACAGGGTTTCTCTACGTAGTCCTGGCTGTGCTGGAACTAGCTCTGCCGACCAGGCTGGACTCGAACTCAGAGATCCACCTGCCATATCTAATGGTGCTGAAGAGCAAACCCAGGATCTTCTACATGTGGGGCAGGCTCTCTACCACAGGGCTCCACTCCTTTTGAAACACGTCTTCTATGTAGTTAAAACTGGCCATTGTCCTTTCTCAGCTTCTTCTATGCATAGGCTACTGGTGTGTTTGACTGTGCCTGGCTTTCTAAATATTTTTAATGCCGAAAATAATAAAGGAAAGAGAGATGGAGATATACCTATTCATATTGTTAATAAATTTAACTTTGGCCCAAAGAAAGATCTGGTCTTTCCCGTTGCACCTGGTAATTTCTGACATCCATCCCACTTAAGGTGGAGGCTTTGAGTCTCTGGGCATCAGCTTGACTTTCAGAGGGACACTAGATCTGTTAGCGTGCAGGGAGAACTCTCCACAGATGTGGGAGTACCTTCCGATCTGCTAGCGTGCAGTGAGAAATCTGCACAGATGTGGGGGCGCTTTCCGATCTGCTAGCGTGCAGTAAGAACTGCACAAAGATGAGGGGAATGAGATGTGCACACAGATGTGGGGGCGCTTTTGCTGGTTGCACTGCTCCTTGCTTTTTCGCACGTGATCGCTGAGAGGCGTCAGTGTTGTTCCTGACTTCATGGGTGGAGATTTTGTTTTTAAGCAAATCACCACACCTGAGAATGCCCTGGACACTCCCAAACGGGACAGTTACGTTAGAAGTACTAGAAATCTTGGTACAGTTATTCACCTCTACATGGGTTCAGTATATTATCACCTCTATTTAAATGTTTAAACGTTACAGTAGAATTTTCCTAATGTGTGAAGCTATTACTCCTATATTGTTGCCAACGGACAACAGAAAAATAGTTCTAGAGATAAGAAGTATCTAATTATGCTTTCTTATCACAGGACCAAGTTCATTGTGATTAATTTCCTCTGGAGTGCTAAGGACTGCTGGGAAAGTTAGGAAACAAAGCTGGCAAATCTAATCTCAAAAAATACAGTACTAGCCACTCCCATCAGCTTTACTTTCCAGTGGCCTATCCCGACCTCAGGCTTTACCCTTCCTCTCCTTCCGGTGTCAGGGATGTGTCCCATGATGCCTTGCTAGCTAGGCAAGCTTCCACCACACATCCCTGTTTCCTTACTTTTAATTTAAATAAAAACCTCAAAATTTGACCTTTAAAAATACCTGTAAACATTTTAGATCATCGTCTCTGTGTGGCCTGTGCCTAAAGCAGACACAGGGATTCCTTTGGAGCTAGAGTTACAGGCAGCCATCTGACACAGGTATTGGGAACTGATTTCACGTTCTCTACAAGCACAGTATGCGTTCTTAACTACTTCAGCTCCCAGTTTTAACCTCTTTTCCCCATTAACATTTTATTAAATTTTCCTCATGCTTTCCAAGTTTAGAAGATGATGTCTCTCCTAGTTATAAAGTTCACTCTTGTGGCTGGCGAGGTAGCTCAGTCGGTAGAGCGCCTGCGCAGCATGCCCAAGGTGCTAGACTCACCCTCCAGCACACACGAACCAGGTATGTGCATGCAATCTTGGCACATAAGAGGCGGGCGTTTACTTTTAAGGGACTGTTTCAAGTGCAGGATAAGGTCGTGAACCAAAGGATATAAATCAGTGTACTGAATCGGTATACTGGTCTAAGAATGAGAGATGCTATATGAAACTTGTCCTTGTTTAGGGGCTAATTCAGATGGTGCAAGGGGACTGTGATGTGGAACAGCTGCGTGGGGACAGGAGCGCAGCAGCAGCGCAGCTGTTTCATGGTGGGGGACCATAGCTGGACTGCCTGCACTAGCAATCTGTCCTTATTTACCGCTGGGCGTGGTCATGCATGCCTTCAGTCCCAGTATTCAGGAGGTAGAGGCAGGCGGAACTATGTGCGTTCGAGGCTGGCTTGGTGTACAAAGTTTCAGAATGGCCAGGGTTACACAGAAAAATTCTGTCTTGAAAAACTAGGGAAAAAAGAAAAACCTTTGTCCTGTGCCTCTGTTTTTTGTATAAAACAGGAATTACCAAACACCTACCTTTTAAAATCATGGGTCCTCTTGATTAATTTATATGAGGGTTTTGAATGGTATTGTGAATCAAGTACTAAGTTTTGGCTGTGACAAGTCACACTTCTGGAATCTATGATGATGACCACAGTGGACAGGTGCAGTGCTCCAAGGAAGAGCCTTTCTTTGTTTCCTTCTATTCAACTTTTTGTAGTGTTGGGCCAAGGCAGTAATTGGAAGCTGTTGATTTTTATAGTTATTTATCTTTGTGTGCTGCTGTTTCGTCTGAGCACATGGGTGTGCACCGAGCGCACACAGGAGCCAGAGGAGAGCACCAGATGCTCTGGGACTGCAGTTATCGAGGACTGCGAACCACTGTGTGGGTGATGGGACTGAACTCGGTTTCTCTGGAACTGCTCAGCCATCTCTCCAGCTCTCACCGCTAATTTTAAAGGAGAAATGCCCACAGGACATCTTTAGTTTAAATTGAGCACACAGCACTCCTACAGCCTGGGTTGCAGGTGGTAGGCAGAACTATGATGGACAGGATTTGTTGGAATATGTGGCTTAGAAAACGGAGAAGAACAAATCCATCACTCAGGAGATACCATTTATCCTAAAGGAAGAAGTTTTATTTTCTGATTACACTTTACAAGAAATCTATATACTTGTAAGGAAGACTATAGACGGATGATGGAAGAGCTGAGAAAAAGGAAGCTGCCAGAGGGCTGTTGTTCAACTCTAGATTGAGGAGCAACTAGCAAAATTACTTTGATATTGACCCTGAAGAATTAACATTTAATTCTTGTTTTCATAAAATACAAAAATAATGAGGTTGATCAATTAATTTTTACAATAATAAATATTAAAATATATTATCTTCTTGGAGTTGGAGATTTGGCTCAATGGTTAACAGCACTTGCTGCTCTTACAGAGGACCTGGGTTCAAGCCCCCAAACCAACATGGTAGCTCATACGTCGCTATAATTCCAGTTCAAGGAGATCCAATAGCCTCCCTGGGTACCAAGCATGCCTACTGTGTCCATACATACAAATATGGAGGCAAAACACTTTTATAATATATAAAATAATAAAATAATCTTAAAAATATTAAAACGTAGCTGGGCGATGGTGGCGCACGCCTTTAATCCCAGCATTTGGGAGGCAGAGGCAGGCGGATCTCTGTGAGTTCGAGACCAGCCTGGTCTACAGAGCTAGTTCCAGGACAGGCTCCAAAGCCACAGAGAAACCCTGTCTCGAAAAACAAAAAAACAAAACAAAAAAAAAATTAAAACGTTATAAAAACATTTGTTTGGGAACAAGTCCCTGGTCCCACCCATACTGTCATTATTTTTGCTTCCTAGGACAACACTCCTTCCATCATCTTCACAATTTCTGGACTCCATTTTTTCTTTTCCTTTCCCAGTGCTACCTGTGATCCCGCTTTTTCCTCCAGACTGTTGGTGCACTGATCCATGAGGGAGGAGGCAGCAGAAGCAGGGAACAGGATTCAGACGGCTGTGAGTACAACACAGACAGTCCTCTGGGAGATGACTTCAGTAAGTCCTACCAACTTTATTCCAGGGAATATACAGGGACAAACCCTACTTTGCACTAAGTGGTACACCACACTCCTATCATGAGGCTTTGATTGTGGCAGCTGGGTCCTATAGCAAAGCTCCTAAAACAAGTTTAATCACCATATGTGCAGCAGGGGTAAGGCTTCTAGCAGGGAACAGTGCTGAGGGTAAAGATAAATCAGGCATCAAGGCTTAAAGAGAGCTTTCAGACAATGTCAGTCTTCCTGGGCCAGGAATATTCTCCAGAGAAGATCAGGTAGAGAGCAGGAAGTCATGCTGGGGGTTGGGGATGGTCCCCATGCTGCCAAGCTTTGGAGAGAGCTGCCAGGCCATGATAGACGGTAACCTCTGACCAGCAACCTTCCAACAACCACCATTCTAGTTTATCTCGTCTGCTATTCTCTTTCAGAGTTTGTAGCGGCACACGCCTACAATCTCAGTACCTGAGAGATCAAAGCAGCAGGGCTAGGGCAAATCTGAGGCCATCCTGGGCTACACAATAAGACACTATTTCAAAATCCAAAGGCTAGGCTTGTCGTTTAGAGAAGGGAAATTCCCTGGCCTTTGCTCATCAAAAGTTATTAACTTAGGCTGGGCAGTGGTGGCACACACCTTTAGAGAATCTCTGTGAGTTCAAGGTCAGCCTGGTCTACAAATCAATTTCCAGGTTAGCCAGGGCTACACAAAGAAACCCTGGCTCAAAAAACAAAAACAAAAAGTGATCACATTCAGTTCCTATTTAAAATGTTGTACAGATACTGTGGACTAATCCAACAGTAATACTATTTCTTTGGTACCCACACAGTTGCAAAATGAGTTCCCCCCAAAAGCATGTGTTTTAAAAAAACAGAAATACCTGGGGGCTGGAGAAATGGCTCAGAGATGATTGCTCTTCGAGTTCAATTCCCAGCAACCACATGGTAACTCACAACCATCTATAATAATATCTGGTGCCATCTTTGGGCATGTAGGCACATATGCAGGCAGAACATTGCATACATAATAAATAAATAAATTTTAAAAAGAAAGAAAAAAGAAAAAGAAGCAAATACAATTCCTGATTTGGCATAAAATAATTATTAATATTTTCATGAATAAAGTGCTTACCTAAAATTAAGAAATACTCTCCCACAGAGCGGTCTATCAAAGGCACAAAATCTCTTTAAAATAGTTGCTTTAAGATTTATGGTGTTA